AGGCCAAGCAGCATCATAGGAGCTTGGCCTGCTGTGTTCATCCAGCCCTGCACCTTGTTGTCTCGGATTCTCCAGCATCTGCAGTTCCTACTATCTCTCACCTCATTAATTAGCTGATCATTTTTAACTTTGAAAGTTAGGAGTGAGCATCTTGTTACTTGAACTCAGCTCTTAAATGAAAAATTTCAAATTTATGTCATAACTGTCCTTTGATGTAGGAAGTAAAATCTAATATCAGCTATTGAACATATTGTTTCACTTTAATTTCCCTCTAAGAAGTTTTATTTTCAACAGGGTGTGGGTCCACAGGGGAATTTGACTCTAGTTCCTTACTTGAATGGTGGTTTATTTGCATTGCCTGATTATTTAACCATGAGTACACCACAGCTGAAAACCTTCCTGACTCTGGTCAGAGTGAACTATACGGTAAATGGAAAAGCCCTGGGGAAAATTGATGCACAGAGAGGTCTGGGTGTTCAGGTCCGTTGTACCCTGAAGGTGGCAACGCAGGTCGATAGAGTGGTCAAGAAGGCATACGGCATGCTTTCATTCATCAAACAGAGTATTGAGTACAAGAGTTGGCAGGTCATGTTACAGTTGTACAGGACTTTGGTTCGACCACATTTGGAATACTGCGTACAGTTCTGATCATCACATTACCAAAAGGATGTGGATGCTTTGGAGAGGGTGCAGAGGAGGTTCACCAAAGTGTTTCCTGGTATGGAGTGCGCTAGCTATGAAGAGAGGTTGTGTAGATTAGGATTATTTACATTAGAAAGACGGAGGTTGAGGGGGGGACCTGATTAAGGTCTACAAAATCATGAGAGGTGTAGACAGAGTGGATAGCAAGAAGCTTTTTCCCAGAATGGGGGGCTCAATTACTAGGGGTCACGATTTCAAGGTGAGAGGGGAAAAGTTTAAGGGAGTATTGCGTGGAAAGTTGTTTACGCAGAGGGTGATGGGTGCCTGGAACACGTTGCCAGCGGAGGTGGTAGAGGCGGGCACTAGAGCGTCATTTAAGATGTATCCACACAGATACATGAATGGGCAGGGTGCAGAGGGATACAGATCCTTGGGAAATAGGCGACAGGTTTCGATAGAGAATCTGGATCGGCACAGGCTTGGAGGGCCGAAGGGCCTGTTCCTGTGCTGTAATCTTCTTTGTTCTTTGGTGTCGGCTTGCACTTGCAGCATGCCTTGAATCTTCAAGATGGCAGCGGTCTAGCAGCACAGCTTGCGGCTCCTTAGCCCAGGACCCTGGTGCTTGTCTACTCCATTCGCATTTTACTTTTTTCTTCCTTTCACTGATTTTTCTTAATGTTTACATTTGTCATCTTACGTTTTTAACTTCGGTGGAAGGCATGTTCTCCCGATTGGGCCCAGTGAAGAGAAGCTTTCCAGCCCAACGTGCTGATCTCAGCTTTGTGCAGCTGTCTCCTGTTGTGGTGGCCTCGTCCCAGGGGGTGATATCGGCTTGGTGTAGTGGTCTCCAGGTTTGGCATTCTTATCCTGGCATAAAGGTCTCATCAGTGTGCAAGTCTTCAGCGGATTCCAGGTATTCCAGTGGCCCGCCATGCCGATATCATCCAGTCCCAGCGTTGAGGTTTCGTTCTGGCATGCGGCATGGAGATCTTGTATTCCAGCCTGGAGCAGCAGTCTGCTGTTGTGGCAGCATTTTCCCAGAGGGGCAGTTTGGCTTGCGTGGCGGTCTCCAAGTTTGGCAATCTTGTCCTGGCATGGAGATCTCATCAGTGTAGAAGTCATCTTTGGCGGCAGCTTCCTGGTATTCCAGCATGCACTGTCTTAGTGGTCTCTTCCCCGAACTGAAATTGATCTGGGATGCATTCTGCCTTAATTTTTACTTTTATTTATGACTTCTGACATTAATGCAGGTGCCATGGTATGGCAACATAAAACATTTCACCTTTTTTTTTGTAAAAATACACATGACAATAAATTGCTATTCTGTTCTATTCAGCAGGAAATTTGGGTTAAGCAGAACTATGAAGCTTGTCTTATTCCCACTTATACCATTGCAGTCCTCATTTGTAACATAATCAGCACCCTTGTGACCACCTTAGCTGGAATTGGTTAACTTAGTTTAGGTCGCAGATTGAGTCTGGAATCTTCATAACTCGTGGACTATTACTACACCGTGCAGTATGTTAACCCATTTGCTATGAACTATTTGGACTTTTAATTTCAAATGTTTGTTAAATCAGAGCTCAGTTTCTTTGAAGTATATGCTGACGTTTTAGGGACAGATGCACAGACAATATACTCAAGCACCTTGAAGAGCATTTACATTCAAAAGCTAATATTCTGAGTGAGTGTGCATTAGTCCCAGTGCTGATATTGAATCCACAATAACCTAATTTCAACAGATGGTACAACACCTGAAGTTATCTGCAAATTTGTGCCATGACTTTTGATCTTTCCAATATAGGAAAGCCTTCACTAAAGAAATATTTTCATTTTTATGTAACATACTTCACAACCTATGGCCATCAAAGCCAATGAACTATGTTTTTCAGAAGTGCAATTGCTGTTGTGAGAAAACTTTGCGGCTAGTTTGAACATAGTGAGATACCACAATCAGCAGTGCAATGGAATAAATATTGGCCAGAACACAAGGGAGAACTTCCCTGCTATTTAATATTTGTGAAAAAGTCTTCTTTAGGCCAACCTGAGAGGATAGATGGGCCTGCGTTTAGCATCTCATCTGAACAACAGAGATTTCACAAGGTGATTTATTTGTTGTTGATATATCCCATTAATGGCATGATTAATTAATGATAACATGGTCTAATGTCCATTTCTAATTTAGGAACAGCTACTTTATACGGCTGTATTAAGTGTCAAGGAGTTGGTAAAGATGGGGTCCCAGTGGTAACAGCTTCAGAAGGGTTTGAAGTCACAGAGATTACAAAGGTGAGATTTTCCTCCATGTATTATTTTTCTTAGTGCCATCTCTGAAAAGGTAGCATTTTAAACATTGAAACATTAAGTTTTTAGAAATTTTTTTCAATTACAGAAGAGTATTCTAATCTCCTGTCCTGATGGGAATGCAGCCTCCAAGTTTCTTATGCCTTATACAACCTTTTCTGGAATACACTCAAAAAGTGTAAGTCTTTTTTTAAATTACTTTATATAAGCTGAATAATATTGACATTTTTCCTGAAGTAAGCATTTTTAGAAGTGCAATCGTTGTAGTAGGAAATGTAGCAGTTTTCAAATTGATTTGTTTACATAGAATCCCTTGTGATTAATTTGGAAACTTCTGAATTTAGACACATCAATTCTAGATATTTTACCATTAGCTTATAATAGTAAGGCAGCACAAAAACACGTTATAATTAAATATTAACCTTGAGGTTAACTATCTTTGTCCAAGTTCTGGTTTCAATTCCCTTTAATCGAACGTTAACAATGGTTGTGGATTTGTTTCAAGATTTCTAAGGTGGCAGGAATGATATGCTCTCAATGAAACTAATAATGTTTCATTAATTGGTTTAAAATATTTTAAGGATAGTAATCCGGCAAGTGTGCATTTAATTGCAAAGAATATTACTTTGTCTTTTATGTATTATGGCAGTGTCTCCTAAACCTCTTTTTGCTGAGCCCCTTGTTATGAGATTCACATCTCATGGTTCAGTCCTTTTTATAAGAAATAATACTTTTTCATTGAGTGGAAGGATTTCGTTTGTTGTACAAATGCATTGTTTAAGTCTTTTCATCTGCCTGAAGTCTTTGATAAACAAGGTTTTCTTCTAATGCTGTCTTATGGTTGTGTATTGAGGAACTGAATTGCCTACTCCTAATTTTTATGTGCAATGGGTATTATATCTCAAAGGTTATCTCTTAGGTATCAGTGTCTCCTGATGATTTAGAGAATATTTTAGTTAATTCACAGTCCTAAAATAGTATGTGTAGTCTAGAGTAGACTTAGTTATACAACTAATAGAACTATTTGTTCACAGGTCTGAAAACTAACTCAGACGTTACTACGCAAAGTGAACGTGATCTAAAAATTCATATGCAATTTCTTTACAAATGATTCTTTATCTCAATTCCAGTTGCCTAGCCTGTCCTGGATAATGGATCTTGATCTATTATTATATATTGTTACTAAAGCAGGAATTTTAGATCTGCAATTGTGTAAATTCCATCCAATTAAAACTACAAACAAATTTTATGTCGTTCAAGGCACATTTTTAAAATTCATTTGGTTCTCAACCTCCCTGAAATGTTGTCCTCTTGCTACCTGAAGGTAGCAGCTCATACAGTTCTATAGCACCACGGGCTTCTTACTTAAGTGAATACCTTCCACATTTCAGCCGTGGTGCGCACTGATTTCTGATTTCCATTGTCTGGCAGTTGGTTGTACCAAGTTGCTGTCAAGTCAATGGATTTCGATATTCTGGCTTCTGACCATTAATCACTGCTAGCCAACCATGGAGCCCCCCTCATCTTTGCCAGATGTTAGAAAGGGGGAGAAGTGCTCCCATATCACCAGCCAGTGCAGTATCTCTCTCATCACTTGTGACAAATGAACAAAATTATGAATAAATATAGTTATGAAGAACAATAAACTAATTTGAATCTATAAGCACACTAGCTATCTAACCTATTCTTCACAGGTTCGTTACCCTGGTATTTTCCCCCTGATTGGGAACTTTGGTACAGAATAGAGCGAGGAACCTTCCTTGATCTTTGATGTTGCAATCTCCAGCCACTCTTCCATTTTCATTAAACCTTCATCAGTCACTATGAGGCACATATAAGCAAATCCTTTTGACTTTTGTTCCCCCCCTGTTCGGAAACGCCTAGTCTCTCCTCAGCAACTCATCACAACACCATTCTGTCAAGCAGTAAGTTGAAGGAATGGAAGCTGGAAGGTGTTCCCCTGCAGTCACACTGGTTTGCAAATATCATGCAGAGGCCCTAATTGTTCATGAGTCTTAGAGATGGTTGTTTTTAAAATTTTACATGACTTTTTTTAAAAATCAGTTTTGAGTTATGGAACAAAAACAGAAGTTCCTAGGAACAAAAACAGAAGTTGCTAGAAAAGCTCAGTAGGTCTGGCAGCATCTGTGAAGAAAAAATCAGTTAATGTTTTGGGTCCAGTGACCCTTCCTCAGAACCGGACCTGAGCTTTTCTAGCAACTTCTGTTTTTGTTCCTGATCCACAGCTCTTTTGTTTTTTATTTGAGTTATGGAAGATAGATTTCTGGTGTTTATGTAAAGCACTGATTTTGTTGAACCTGATGTATCTTTCAAAATAAAATTGTATTTCCAAAATTATGTACATTATCTCTCTTACCCTCACCCCCTAGATCACCAGTATGGATATTTCTAGTGGTGGAGGGCTGGGAGTATCTTGCAGTACAGATGGAACAATGCGAATCTGGCAAGCCAACAATGGAGAATTGAGGGTTTGTGTATCTATTTACTGCAGTAAACTCCTGACCGAGTAGTTTAAAAAATTTATAGTTCAAGGTCTGTCTTTGAACAGCTTCTGTAGAAAGATTATGTGAGCTTATCGTTCTGGTTTGAATGCTGAATCACTGTTTAACATCAAACATCGTAACAAGTTGGTTATGTGTTTTAAATAACTTGAGAATTTTCTACCCAAATTAATTCTATGTTGACAATAACAGGCCCCCAAGAGAGATTATTAAGCCATTATCACATCATAAACAAGGTAAACTGAAGATGAAACGATTTATAACAGTTATATGTGAGCCTTGAGTTACAATTACTACCTTACAATCCTTCTGTTGTAGCTATTATGTTTTGTATTAGTTGATCTCATACTGTGCAAGTAATTAGTTATATTTTTGGTGTATTTATTATGGGTGCCAATGCAAAGTGAACTGGCAAAATAATTAATCAGTAGTGACAACCATGCTGAAGGGTTTGATGTCATAACATAATCGTTGCTACTTTATTTAATGTCAGATATTGATCTCTGAGAAATATCACAGCTGATGTTCCAAAGGGTGTGCAGATATGTGGGTATGTGAATTGGAAGGTCTTGTATCTAATCCATTGTAATTTTAAATTTCAGAGAGATCTGGTTGGCCACGTGTATGATGTGAATTGTTGTAGGTTCTTTCCCTCGGGGATTGTGGTTCTAAGTGGAGGAATGGACGCTCAGTTGAAAATTTGGTCTGTTGAAGATGGAAATTGTTCTGTAACTTTGAATGGACACAAAGGAGGTATAGAGAACTATTAACACAGCGTTTTAAGAAACAAAATAGTGATGGTATTCTATTTTACATGAAACAATGATTCTGAAAAACAAATCCATTAAGAACATTGTAAATTTAGATACAGGTTCAAAACTTGGTATGCATCGACTGTTCTATCAGATTTGCTATAGTATAGATTTCGGACCAGTGGATAATGTACCTCGCAGGAAAGAAGATGTTTGTGGTTGTTGGAGATCACTCATCTCAACTCCAGGACGTCACTGCGGAGTCCCTCAGGGTAGTGTCCTAGTTGCTTAGGAGCACTACAACCTGCAAGTTACATTCCAAGTCGTGCACAATCCTGACTTGGGAATATAACACCAATCCCTCACTGTTCCTGGGTCAATAACCTGGATTTCTTTCTCCTAACAGCAGTGTGGATGTGCCTGTATTCCAAGGACTGCAGCAGTTCAAGAAGGCAGCTCACCACTACACTCTCTAAGGTCATTGAGGATAAATGCTGGCTTAGCCAGTGATGCCAACAACCCTGTGAATGGACAAATAATGCTTTTGAAAAAGTATCTACAGGGGGGAACATTCTTTTCACTTCCTGCTGCTTTTCCTTCCATCCCTCTTGAAACTGAATGCTTCTCAGTGCTAATCTAGACCGGATCAAGAACTGATGAAATTCAGCCGACTATTAGGATTGCAGAGGGAGAAAGGGAATGGGTGACCAAAAGGCAGAAAAAAAGCAGGAAGGCAGTGCAGGTGTCCCCTGCGGTCATCTCCCTCCAAAACAGGTATACTTTTTTGGATATTGTTGGGAGAGATGGCTCACCAGGGGAAGGCAGCAGTAGCCAGGTTCATGGCACTGTGGCTGGCTCTGCTGTACAGAAGGGCGGGCAAAAGAGTGGAAGGGCTATAGTCATAGGGGATTCGATTGTAAGGGGAGTAGATAGGCGGTTCTGTGGTCGAAAACGAGACTCCTGAATGGTACGTTGCCTCCCAGGTGCACGGGTCAGGGATGTCTCAAATTGACTGCAGGACATTCTGAAGGGAGAGGGTGAACAGCCAGTTGTCGTGGTGCATATAGGCACCAATGATATAGGTAGAAAAAATGGGATGAGGTCCTACAAGCAGAATTTAGGGAATTCGGAGCCAAGTTAAAATGTAGGACCTCAGAGGTAGTAATCTCAGGATTGCTACCAGTGCCACGTGCTAGTCAGCGTAGAAATGAAAGAATAGGCAGGATAAATGAGTGGCTTGAGAGATGGTGCAGGAGGGAAGGGTTCAGATTTTTGGGACATTGGGACCGGTTCTGGGGGAGGTGGGACTATTACAAATCGGACGGTCTACACTTGGGCAGGACTGGAACCAATGTCCTAGGGGCTGCTTTTGCTAACGCTGTTGGGGAGGGTTTAAGCTAATGTGGATTGGGGATGGGAGCCAAATGAGGAGGCTAATGGACAGTAAGGAGGTAGTAACTAAAACCTGTAAGGAACTAGATAATGAAGTCAGTGTGACTAAGGGGAAGAGTAGGCAGAGAGCAGATGATGAACACAAAGGGACAGATGGTTTGAGGTGCATTTGTTTTAATGCGAGAAGTGTAATAGGTAAGGTAGATGAACTTAGGGCTTGGATTAGTACCTGGGAGTATGATGTTATTGCTATTACTGAGACTTGGTTGAGGGAAGGGCAAGATTGGCAACTAAATATCCCAGGATATAGATGCTTCAGGCGGGATAGAGAGGGAGGTAAAAGGGGTAGAGGAGTTGCATTACTGGTCAAAGAGGATATCACAGCTATGCTGAAGGAGGGCACTATTGAGGACTCGAGCAGTGAGGCAATATGGGCAGAGCTCAGAAATAGGAGAGGTGTGGTAACAATGTTGGGGCTGTACTACAGGCCTCCCAACAGCGAGCATGAGATAGAGGCACAAATATGTAGACAGATTATGGAAAGATGTAGGAGCAACAGGGTGGTGGTGATGGGAGATTTTAATTTTACCAACATTGACTGGGATTCACTTAGTGTTAGGGGTTTAGATGGAGCAGAATTTGTAAGGAATATCCAGGAGGGTTCTCTAGAGCAGTATGTAAATAGTCCAACTCGGGAAGGGGCCATACTGGACCTGGTGTTGGGGAATGAGCCTGGCCAGGCGGTTGAAGTTTCAGTAGGGGGTTACTTTGGGAATAGTGATCACAATTCTGTAAGTTTTAGAGTACTGATGGACAAAGATGAGAGTGGTCGTAAAGGAAGAGTGCTGAATTGGGGGAAGGCCAACTATAGCAAAATTCGGCAGGAGCTGGGGAATATGGATTGGGAGCAGCTGTTTGAGGGTAAATGCACATTTGATATGTGGGAGGCTTTTAAAGAGAGGTTGATTAGATTGCAGGACAGACATGTCCTTGTGAAAATGAGGGATAGAAAGGGCAAGATTAGGGAACCATGGATGACAGGTGAAATTGTGAGACTAGCAAAGAGGAAAAACGAAGCATACATAAGGTCTAGGTGACTGAAAACAGACGAAGCTTTGGAAAAATATCGGGAAAGTAGGACCCAGCTGAAACGAGGAATTAAGAGGGCTAAAAGAGGTCATGAAATATCTTTAGTTAACAGGCTAAATGGTTAATGTTAACTCTGTGCCCAATATTTGAGAACAGTTGTATGTTTCTAATATTTATTGTATCATATATTTTAAAATTTTAATGCTGCTTTAAATCCAGCGTTTTCTGGATGCATTTTTATTTTTGAGTTGTAAAGCGTACTATTGTTCACTGCGGACAGCTTTCTAATGTTCTGGAAAGTCATTTTCTTATTGAATGACAGAGAATAATGATAATAAATAAAAACGTAGGCAGTTGTTGCATGTATTTGAACTTGAGTTGGAGGAGTCCTAATTTTGCTTGACTTTTGAAGTTGTCTTTTGAATTTTATTCTGCAAGACAGCATTTATATCTATATATTAACATTTTTTTTGTCCTGTCCATTAGAAATGTGTAATCCAGTAATCTGTGAATATCGTAACATTCAGGGAGCTTGGTGTCTTAATATTAACCACATTCAAATGCTTGCTATATTTGGTTCTACATTGCAGTAGGCAGTAAGATTTTCAGTAGGTCACTCCATATAGTTCAGGGGCCAGTGGAGAGCAGTTCAAGAGTTACAGTCAGCTTGTGATTGAATGACAGAGCCAGAAGCAAGCTCCATGCAGAAAAGTGCGGCCAAGAATGCCATTGGTTCTTTGTAGTTGGGGCTTGGAGAGAAGCGCCAAGAGCTGTTGAAGGTCCTGAAAACAGCTAATGGTTGCTGGTTGAGCCTTAGGAAAGTCCTGAAGGCTGAGAGTATGACCACTTAGCACAATTAATACCTCCAGTACAGCTGAAAGACATGATTGAAAAATCTAAGCACTATTTGCTTGGTGCAGCTGAGCAACATTAGAGCTCAGGAAAAAAAAAACTCCAGGTGTGGTACATGCTTGTTGAAGCTTACAGTCTGTGAAAAACTGGACCCGAGCTTGTGAGTACAAGCTGGAGTACAGTTTCCAGGAACCAGATGATCTTAGACCCAGGAAAGGAAGGTGAATGTGAGCAGTTGTTGAGATCATAGTGGAGTGTTTTTTGAGTGTTCTAAATCTGGGTCTTTAATAGAGAAGATTGGAATCCTATGTAAATATTTGATGATCCACAGTGTTGCTAACTTATGGAGGTTGCAGAGAAATCCACGGGATACATCTTGATTGCATTTTTGGTTTGATCTGTTCTGAGGGGTGTATGATTGCAGTTTGTCTGTTATCCATATAATTAACTTTTTTTTTCAGTAGCTTATAGAATATTAACATCAAATGTCTCGGCATTTATTACCCATCCATAATTATAATCCACCTGGAATTACATGTAGGTCAGACAAGGTAAACATGGTAGATTAACCTTCCCTAAAGGACATTTGTGGCAATCAACATTTGATTGTCATAAATATCAATTTGGTTTTTCAATCAACATTTGTGACGGCCATCATTAGGCTAAGTATTTTTTACCAGATTTTTATTGAATTGATCTGCCATGGTGGGATTCGAACCCATGTCCCCAAAACACTAGTATGGAGTTCTGGAAAACTAGCCCAGTGACATTGCTGCTATGCCGCTGCCTCCCCTACATTGTATTACTTTTCAAACTTTATGTAGTAAAGTTGATTGCTGTTGTTCAAGACAGTGGAATGTTGTGGTTTTAGTTTCTTAATACCTGTAATGTCACACATTATCTACTGTACAAAAAAAATTACTGATCCCTATCCAGACCCTAATACATATTGGTGGTTCTGGTCTAGAATCATAGCACATATTTTCTTACTCAATATTGAAAATATTTTTGTGTTTACAAATTATATTGATGTTTGTTTAAAGTTGGGTTTCCTTTTTAATTTTGTTTTTAGGTATTCTTGACACAGCAATCATAGAACGTGGGCGCAATGTCATCTCAGCCTCCAGGGATGGAACAGCAAGATTGTGGGATTGTGGCATGTCCACTTGCCTTGCAGTTCTAGTGGATTGTGGGACTCCCATTAATGGCTGTTCACTTGATGTTGCTGAAAACACAGTGAATTTGGGTTCTCCTGAGCATTCACCAAGTAAGTAGACTGTTGAAACAGATTGTCAATCGCCCTAAGTTGTTCCAGTTATTCCTTTAGATTCTTGGAACATGTAGACCAGGAAGATGAACTTTGTTCCCATTTTGTGGTGTTACACAATCTCATTGGGGGCCATGATAGGTCCCATTGCTGAGGGAACTCGGTTAGAGAGGGGATTTTCTACTGTTGCTAATTGTGCTCACCATCCAAATATCACTGTTGTCCTTAACTGAACCCAATGTAATGTACACCACAGCATCGATTCTATCTGGTAAACTGATTTTTCCATCTAAATTTGTCAATTTGTATCCCTTGGACTGATAGCTGTAATGACAGTTAAGAGTTGATTGTAAGGTAGTAGGTTACGTGTAAACCAGACCAGGTAAGAACAGCAGATTTCCTTTCCTGGTGGGTGAATCAAGTAAGTATTTTACGACAAACAGCAACGGTTACATTATGGCCATTAAACTAGCTTTAATTCTGGATTTTATTGAATTCAAATTTTACCATCTGCCGTGGTGAGGTTTGAACCCATGTCCCCATAACATTAGCCTGGGTCTCTGGAATGGTAGTCCAGTGACATTAACACTAGCCACTGCTTCCCCAAATATGTCGTCATAGAATCATACAGCACAGAAATGCAATGTTCAATCCAACTCATCCGTGCCGACCAGACACCCCAATCCAATCTAGTCTCATTTGCCAGCATTTAGCTTTCATCTCTCTTAAACCCTTCCTATTCATGTACCCATCTAGATTTCTTTTAAATGTTATAATTGTACCCACCTCCACCACTTCCTCTTGCAGTTCATTCCATCCAAACACAACACTCAGTGTGAAAAAGTTACCCTCCGGTTCCTTTTATATCTTTCTCCTCTCACTTCTTGAAATATGCCCCCTAGTTTTAGACTACCCAACCCTGGAGAAAAGACCTTAGCTATTCATTTTATCCACTCCCTCATGATTTTATAAACCTCTATAAGGTCACCCCCTCAGCCTCCGACACTCAAAGGCGAAAAGTCCCAGCCTATTCACCCTCTCTATAGCTCAAACCCAGTAACATCCTTTTAAGTCTTTTCTGCACCCTTTCCAGTTTAACAAAATCCTTTCTATAGCAGGGTGACCAGAATTGTACACAGTAGTCTGAAGGTGGCCATACCAATGTCCTGTACAGCCGCAACATGACATCCCAACTCTTATATTCAGTGCACTGACCAGTGAAGGCAAGCATGTCAAATGCCGCCTTCACCACCCTGTCTACCTGTGACTCCACTTTCAAGGAACTATGCATCTTCACCCCTCGGTCTCTCTGTTCAGTAACAGTCCCCAAGGCCCTACCATTAATTGTGTAAGTCCTGCCCAGGTTTGCCTTTTACAATTTTCTTACATTTGCCCGCATTGCTGTGTCTTGTTGACTTTGCTGTGAGCAGTGTGGACATTTTCTCCCTTTCACTGCATCACTAACACCAATTTGACATCTCAATCACTCCTTCACCGCTGTTAGCAACCTCTGCCTTTGGATGTGGACACCCTCACCAACTGTTCCCTGGCTGTTACTACCGCTCTGTCTACAAAATAAAAACCATCATTTTCCAGCCCCTTTCAGTTCAGAACAAGAGTTAGATCAGACTCTAGACATTAACTGATTCTCTTTCCATACAAGTTCCCTGATCTGTCCGAAGCATTCTGTTAAAATATATCAAGGAAGGTTTAATAATGTTTCAATTAAGACTTACACTAGCAATTGACAACCAAGCTTTCTAGTCACTACACATTGGAATTCCATTGTCACGTTCCTCTGCCACTCCAGCACTATATTTTCTTTCAAGACCAACCATAAAGCTCAGCTATTTGCTCAAGCATTTTTCTCTTCCCTCGTATCTTCATTCTGCCATCTGTTTATTTCTGATTATTCCTCTGAAAGATCACTGTTATATTCTTCTGCTTTAAGGGTACAACACAAGCACAAGTTGTTGTAGTAAGTTGCTTTTAAAATGTTGCCACTCTTCCAGTATCTCATCGAATAGAATTATAGATTCTCTGTGAAGACATAGCAAATGAGTTGCTAATTTGATCTCTCACTTTTTTTGTACCTACTATTAGTTTATCAGTATCTAAGCTGCGAGTCCTGTTTTTGTACCGTGTTCAAATTAGTCATTTATAAATGTTTTATTGTTATTTCGTGGGATGTGAGTATCATTGGATAGGCTAGCATTTATTACCTATTCTTGATTTCCTTTGAAGATTGTGGTGAGCTGTCCCCTTCCATCACTGTTAGGGTTAAGTCAACCCATAGTGCTGTTCGGGAATGACATTCAGGATTTTGATGTAGCGACAGTTTCCATACATCTGCTGTCCTTGTTCTTCTAGCTAGTACAAATGCAGATTGGAATATGCTTATAAAAGAGTATTGGTGAGTTATTGCAGTACATCTGTAGACCATGCATATTGCTGCCATTATATATCAATATTTGAGGGAGTGAATGTTGACAGTGCTGATCTAGTGGTCTGCTTTGTTTTGTATGGTATTGGGCTTTTTAGGTGTTGGTGGAAATGCACTCATTCAGGCACATGGAGAATATACCATCGCACCCTAACATATGCCTTGTAGATTCAGCAATGTAACTGCAGTTATATAAGCAAAACTGTCAACGTTGGGAAAATTCTAGAGGTGAATTTGGTGCAATTCAACCATGGTTCATAGAATGCAGGGTACAAAATCTGGTCCTATACTAAGTGGAATTTAGAAGAAGTAAAGGTGTTCTTACTGAATTATATAAGATTCTGAAAGAGTTTGATCGAATCGATGCTGTCCCATTTAAAGCATAAACATAGCAAAGGTATTTTCCCTAGGGTGGGGAAGTTCAAAACAAGGGGGTATATTTGTAAGGTGCGAGGAGAAAGATTTAAAAGTGACCTGAGGGGCAACCTTTTCATACAGATCGTGGTTTGTATGTGTAATGAACTGCCAGAGGAAGTGGTAGATGCAAGTATAGTTACAACATTTAAAAGACATTGAAACAAGTACATGAATAGGAGAGGTTTAGAGGGATATGGGCCAAATGCAGGCAAGTAGGACTAGATTTAGTTTGGAAAACTTGTTCGGCATGGATGAGTTGGATGGAAGGGTCTGTTTATGTGCTGTATGGCTCTGACTCTATGACTATACTTCTCCCAAAGGGTTGTTAGTCTTTGGAATTATCTTCCACAGAAAAAAGTGGAGTTGGATCATTGAATACATTCATGGCTGAGTGATCCAGATATTTAATTGGCAAAAAAAAAAGTCCAGGAATATGACAGCAAGCAAGAAAGTACTATTAAGACCATAGTTAGATCTGCCATGTTCTTATTGTGCCAGTTCCATCACTCAATAAGACAAATGGGCTACTGTTGCTTCTATTTCCTATGATCTTACATATTGTGTCAAGCAAAAATCTTTTCTGTCAGTTTCTAATCAGCTGCCAGAGGTGGCATGTATATGCAGTGGATAGCCTTGAAACAGTGATTGAATCATGTTGTCTTGGTGCTGTCTCTTGAGGAAGAAGATCATTTGCTGTTGGATTGTGTTGTTAGAAAAAAAAAACGTAGGTTCACAGTTGGGATGGGATAGCAGATTGTTGGATCTCATTCTTGTTTTCAATTCTCTCAGAATCGATCCTTCAGCTAGGTTAACGTGGGCTCTGTACCTTTTTGAGTTTAATTTTTAAAAATAGTTCCTTACAGTAAAACATCACTAACAAAAATCAATTTTAACCTGCAAAATGGTTCTCTTATTTCCATAGACATCACCCCCCACACACGCAACTCTGTATGTGATCTCCTAAATCTGGAGGCTGATGAACTTGGAGACTGTCCTGTTCATCTTCATACATTTGGAGTGTTAATAGTTATGATTGATAAATGTGTATTAGTGATGAAAGGGAGACAACTAGAGTTATTGGTTGTTGCACCATAAATAGAGCCCTGCTGTTCATGTTGCAAAAAAAAACTGCGTTGCAGAATGTAATCCCCAAATACTAATAAAAATCCTGAAATTCAATGTAATGAAAATTAACTTAATTTATTCTTCACCTTGAAGCAATGACCTTGATGGTAGACCTTTATTTGGGGCTGTTTTGCAGTTGTTTGAGTTTTTGATTTGTTAAGCTTTTTTAATGCAGCTGTGTCAGCTTTTTTAAAAAGTCATGAGCTTTACTGAGATTTGTAAGTTGGCATGTTTGCAGTTCCACAGTGGCATGTTGAAAACTCTCATGATGCATCTTTCGGAAAAACACAGGGTTTGTCAGCAGCAGTTCAAAAATTCAAAATTCAGATCCAAGTAAAATTTACAACCCAATTCTAAGGCTCCAGGCTCAGTTAGGGACATTTCTGGCTGACAATTGTAACATTATGATGCTGCATGTATTTGCCAGAAGAATGAGAGGCAATTTAATCGAAACATACGGGGATTCTGAAGAGGCTTGACAGGGTTGTCACTGAGAGGTTATTTTCTCTGACTGAGGAATCTATAATATATGGGCACAGACTCAGGATTAGAATCATTGAATCCCTGAAATGTGGAAGCAGGCCATTTGGCCCATCAAGTGTACACCAGCCCTCCAAAGAGCATCCCAACCCCATACCCGATCCCTGTAACCTTGCATTTCCCATTGCTCATCCACCTAGCCAGCACATCCTGGATACCATGGGAGGTGATTGCCAAGTGGTATTATTGCTGGACTGTTAATCCAGAGACCCAGATAATGTTCCATGGACTGGGTTCGAATCCCACCATGGCAGATGGTTATAGGAACTAGACAGGAAAGTGGTATTGAGGCTTCTTAACGAGGGCCCTGTCATCAATCGCTGCAACACTGTTCTCAATCTACTTTGCTGTAATGCTTTACCTTGCCACCGAAAAGCTCCCCACTGGAGTGGAGCTAAGCTACAGAACCAGCGGAAAACCAGTGTCAGCAGCGGTATGCGAATGATGTTTGTGTACACGCAAATTCAGAGGACAAACTCCAGACCATTGTCAGCAGCTTTATGGAGGCATATGAGAGTAGGGACCTTGTCATGAATGTGCATGAGATGACAGTCCCCCACCAACCTGGCCTGGTAATGTGGAGCAAACCCCCAATCCTCAAGGTCCATGAGGGGGCCTAAGAGATTGTTGGCTACTTCCAATACCTTGAGTGTCTGGTTGGCCAAAGCAGTTATTAATGAAGAGACAAAAACAGAAGTTGCTGGAAAAGCTCAGGGTCAGGTCTGAAGAAGGGTCATCGGACCTGAAACATTAACTCTGATCTTTTCTTCACAGATGCTGCCAGACCTGCTGAGCTTTTGCAGCAACTTATGTTTTTGTTCCTGACTTACAGCATCTGCAGTTCTTTCAGTTTTTATTGATTGAAGAGATTCAGCACTGCCTCCAGTGTGCAGGGTGTTCAAGCACAAGAACATCAGATCTGATGCCAGGCTAATGGTATGCAGAGCTGTGGTGCTACCGCG